GTCGACCCTTCTTATCTCCATGCTCTTCTCAACTACTCCATAGGCATTTGCATTCTTCTTCCTCACGGCCTAGGAATGCTAGCTGATTTCACACTCGGAGTGTCATTTCGCCAAACGAATCATCACAAACTTGTTAACGGCATTTTTCACTGAAGTCTGTCTTTTTTTATTTTATTCTCTATCATTCTATCACTCATTTGTTTTTTATAGAATTTTACATTCTTATTAATCATTGACAAGTACGTTTTTTAGGCAATCTTCACCCATGCGTCTGCTTCTTGTAGCCTGTACCATAATACACTTTCTGATATAATTTTGATCTGATAATGGGAAGATCTATACAAAAAAAGTTCATGTGGGATGGATAAATTACGACCTTCTACGGTTGAACAACCCCCCCACCCAACACCAGACAGATGTGTTTGTTAGTGGCTAACAACAGTGAGATTCAGGTTGGGCATTTGAAGCAATAGATAGTGGTTGAGAGGACCAGTAGGAACTTCGGAACATGCAAATCTACCTGACAAGTCCTAAACAGGAAGGAACACGCCGCTTGGATTCAACTGCTAGCCTCCGCCACCACCATCAAAAAGAGCAATGATGAACAAATGAAAACAGCTATCCTGAACGTCTTATTATAAAAGCTACTAAAACAGGACCATATAAATACGGAACACTTCCGTTCCTTAAAAGCCACATTTGTTAAAAGAAGTCTCTTATGCAGCTCAATATAAACTCACTTTCTCCACATAAGTAATGATTTCAACTTCCTTATCACAGATAGGTGTCAGTCACAATGACTGTGAGCCGAGAAACGTTAAATATATACCATTCTGATTGTACAAAGGAGAAAGAAGTCTGATTCTGGTCACCAGAAAACGACCCACAAAACTACTTTCAGTGACTATCCCTCCGAAGGCGAACAAGACAGACTTCTTTCTATGGATTGTGGAAAGTATGGTAATCCACATTCAACTACATCAATGCACGTAGCTTAGACGTTGGACTGTCAATAACCTGCCTGAAGAACTACTGAGGTGAACAATTAACGTTCAATTTAGGAAGCACGTGGTATGTAGATAAAAAGATGATACTGCAATGGGATCATCACATGGTCCCACTACTGGCTGACTGCTTCATGTCAAAGCTTGGAAACACTCAGCTTAGTCGAGCTATTGGATGCCTTGATATCTACTGAGGAAGATGTGTAGACAACACGTTTTTCTTGCAGGTATTTCGCTTTCACTCAAACAACTGCCATCCATCTTTAATATTTACTGTGAAAAAGGAATCTGAATCTGGCATTCCTATTCTTCAAGTGTTCATCACAAGAAATATTGACTCTGTGTCTTAAAAAAGTCATTTACTAAAGTGGAATAGCCGGTTAAGCAATCTCTATAGTTAGGTGTCTATCTACAGAATAAGAAATCGTATTCCTCTCCTCTGCCAGAGAATATAAAAGACTTGTATTTCAGACTTTGTACATTCATTCAGAACTTTCTTTTCTAACATCCACACTTTCTGAGAATCATTTTCCTAATCGTCTTAGCAGTAAAAACACGAAAATAAACACTCTAAATTAGTCAATGACTCATTATCAAAGAAAGACGTTTTCATGCATCTCTGACCAGGCTTATGATATGCCCAGCCGGAAACTATTCTCAGTTCGTATAGAAGATAAGCGCTCTCTTTGCCAGCCAAATATGCGTTCATCAGTTCATCTGTTTCTGTGGAGTAAGGTGCAACGACCGTAGCCAGAGAATACTTTCGACAGGATCAAACTCTGCCACTCAACTAACTAACTAACTTTGGTTATGATTTTAAAATCACAGGCAACACGCTTTCTCTTCAGTCTGGGGATTATATTCCAGATAACAAAACATCAACAAATTAAGTGGTGTTCGGTCTCTTGAATCGCCACTTGCAATATGACAGTCTAAACTGATTAAGGAGGGGAAATCAATCGACGAGGCTATGAAATTACATCGACTGAGATGGTTAGCACATGTGTTACCTATGCCTAGTCATCGCCTTCCTCGACAATGGGCAATGTTAGCTGATATAGGGTCAGGCTGGAAAAGAGCTAGCGGCGGTCAAACCAAAACATGGCACCAGTCAATGAAATCTACAACAGTTAGTTCAAGCCAGCCACGTAGGAAGGTGTAGACTTCCTGACTGGTTGGGGTCCTCGGAACGGTAAAAACCAATGCTTGGAAACAATTGATGCAATGGCTCAAAATCGTTCTCAATGGCTGGTGCAGATGCATCCACTCCTTGTGACTTCTATGTCGAAAACAGACAGACTAAAATGATTAAGGACAATAATCGTAAGACGGTTCCGCTTACAGATGAATTTTTTCCTTTAATTCGCCTAGGTTTATACTACTACTCATCAAGGAAGCTGAACAACAGTGACAAATTATCATTTAGAGAGAAGAGAACACGAAGTTCAGCAAAGATACCCTTTCGGCGATTTCATTTTCAAAAGCTATACAATCGCGTTTAAATACATAAATTCACATACATACAATTTTTATTTGATTCCACATAATTACGAAGGCGAATATTTTCGACTAGATATGGTTTACAAGAGGCTTGGAAACAAAATTACACAGGATTAGGACGAATTACAGGTGTGTGTGAAAATGAGCATGGAAACAAATTGAAATAATAATTTTCAACTTGAAATGGAAGTTAGGAGGTGTGAATATAGATCACAAGAGCCCTAGAAACAAAAATTACGCAGGATTAGGATATAATTGTAAAATAGTTATTTTACCTAGTTTCCGATGGACATTGTGAAAACCAATTTGACTCAACTTACTAAAAATTTTGCTCAAGTAGCTAACCGAAATTCGCCTGCTCTGGACTGATTCGATTCAGGAAACTCAGTTGAACCAGGTAGATAACTGATGATTTCAACCCTAAACCAGCGAATCGACTCTCCAATGTTCCAAACCCTTAGACCTGGCTGACTGAAATTTCACCCCGAACCATGTACATTGAAAATTCGAGAATTAACTAGCGAAATAGCGAATTTCATTTAATGTATTACCAGTTCGACCAAGTAGCCAGCCAGAATTCGATTAGTTTCCACAGGTTCACATTCGGCTCTCTCTCTCTCTCTGAGCTGAGTCGAATCGGGTAACACAGCTGGTGAGATCAACTTCACACGCGCTGACCATTGCAAAATTGATGACAGTGATATAGGAATCAAGTTTGACGTTAAGTGTTTTGGATTAATTCTTTCTTCTCACCTATGTCTTAGCGATTTCTAGAAGAATATTTCGTCTGACTTTTTACATTAAGAAGTTAAAGGCACTCAGGCATAACTCAACCCCTCCTCTTACAGTCTGTCAACTCGTGCATCGTACCTATTCTTCTTCATTGTTCACCCTTATTCTTTCCTGGATTGATTAAAAAAGACTACATCATACTTTGTAGAACTCTAAAGACTGTCAGTAGGGCAAGTGGTGTCCCATTGGGTCATATCGTTGACATCGTCATTGATAGGCACTTGATTTCATGCAACAAATTTGCTAAAGGAATTTTCTCAGACTGTGAGCATCCACTTTACCCACAGCTCCAATCTTGTGTCTTCTCAGGTAAAACAAGAAGTCATTTCAAAAGATTTCATGCATGTACGTCTAAGTGTAAGAATTCCATCATACCATATTTGGCGCAAATTTTATGTGATGGAAATATTTGTCAGGAACGAACTAACTAACCTTCTTTGCACCAGTAAATAAACCATTTTCTCCATCCTTATTCCACCAAGCTTTATTGTTATTGTTCTTCTTATACTTATAATTCTCTCAATTGTTTTGTTTCTATTTCCTCATAAGTGTAAACATCACTTAAGCTGTGCAATAGCTGTTGATTTTGTCTTACCCCTCACCATGCTGCTATAATCAACAGAACATTAGATTCAATAATCTGTAAAATACCAAAATTTCCAAACTCTATCGACAATACTGTTTGAAACACACCCACTGTTATTACTATATTCATTACTCTCATTTTGTACCTCGAATATTTTTTGACTTTATGCCGTGTATGTGGACCAATTCCTGTGGTTTATTTTATTCACATTTTGACTTAACTAGATGCAATATTGTGACAAATGCTGACAATTCCATTCTGTATTATAAGTAACCTTTTGAAATAAAGCAGATTAGTATTATCATAATTGTTATTACTATACTCCACCACAGTGCCCAAGTTCTATTCACATAACACTTAGAATGCTATGTGCAATGATTTTAGGAATTCGACCACTAGTCTCTTGATACTGTATAGGATTCTAGTGCTGTCGAGCTTCCCTGCAAAACGTTTACCAGAATCGAAATGCCTAATCAGGAAATCATTGTAACTGTTGTTAGTCAAGTACAACATGATTCACCGAGTTCCCTTAGTTATTCGAAAATTAACGCCTTACATCCCTGTTTCGAGAATTGATCTGTCCGAACCATATTAAATCTCGAAGACTCGCGCATAATCGGAAATCAAACAAACTTGATCCGCTAATATGTGTTATTAGGCTGTCTTTTGACAAGTGTTACAGTCGAACAAATCCAGTTAACGGTATATTATTGTATTGTATTCGAATGCGATATTGTGACAAATGCCGAGAATTCCATTCTGTACTATAAGTACTGTCTTTGGAATAAAGCAGATTATCATTAACTCTACTGTTCAGATCACTTCCATCTGACTAGGAAGCACCACCAACACCATTACGACCACCGGTTGATATGAGTAGTAGTCAATTACTCATTTCAATCAACCAATAGTGTAAAGAGTTGTGCGTATTTATGCTCAATTTATTTTGCTTAACACCTGGTGTACATCACTGTGCAATGCATCAATAGCAAAAGATACTTACATAATTCAACCTTATATAAAGTTGTTACAATTGAAATATTTAATAAAAGTATAAATATTTTCTCACCGACACAACTGTCAAGTAAATGCATCAACATATATAAATGTATATATAATCATGATTTGGTTGGGTCGGAAGAATTATTGTCATTATTTCGTTCAGCCTTATGAGTGTTTTGTTCTAATTGATTGAAGGCAGCATCCAGTTTCTTGAATTCCCTTTGTAGCATAATAATTTGTTTTCGCATATCCTTTTTAACATATTCAAGCATTTCAGTGGCTTCCTCATTCTTTTGCATAAGCTTCAAAATAGTAAACAAAAATATAAAAGTGAATGAGGTTAAGTGACAACCATGAAGATGCATTTCACACTGAATATATATGTTTCTTCCGTTGGCACACAAAAACTCATTGAAAAGAAGAAAAATAATCTGTGGCTCATTGGTCCCCATCTAGGTGTTTCACTTCTATCCAACCAGTGGGTCGGTCACGAGTTCGATTCCCGCTGTACGTAGCGATGTCTGGACAGATCCGGGTAGTATAACCAGTCCTCAGGCAATAAGCTGTGGCTCATTGTCAACTGTATTGTTCAGTAACACTCATGATGACTATTGACCAAAACTAATTTAATACTTCATCACTGTACAAATAATAGGCAGTTAGCATTACACCTGGTATCAGCATTCACATGTTACACTCAGTTTGTTTATTTGAAATCAGTTAACCAGAACAAATTTCCCATGTATAGTAGGCCATGAGCAACACTAATTGTCTAAAGGCTGATGATACTACCCAGTTGTCCGAAGTAAAGCAGGTCGAGTGGGATTCGAAACTAGGACAAGCTGACTGAAGGCCAATTGTTCAAGCCAATGAGCGACACCTTCACTTTCACATGTTACATACTACCTACGCTACTCTTCACACGCTTCAACAAATCAGACAGATTAGCAAACAACGGAAAGTTGAATATATCATCACTGAGAAAACACAACCTTGTTCTGTACACAGAAAAAAGCAATCCAAAGAACCATTTTAAAAAATATGCACAATATTTGTGCTATGTAGCATAACTCCTACACCAAGTGATAAGGATGATATGACGAAGAAGAGAAAGGGAAGAGAAAAAAATGACTGACTAAGTTTTCAAAGCAGAACCTAGCACAGAAGTACAGCAGTTCAAGTTGTCACATCCCGTATAGCACCCAAAATGGCGAAAAATTCAAAAAATTATCATGAGCAGAATAATCTAGGAGATTATAAACACTGAATACATCTGAAGTCACTGAGGACGATTTTTGGCTACAGCATTAAGTCTCAAGGACCCCACCCCACCCCACCCCAGCCAGGCAGCCTACACCTAAACACGTAGCTAAAACTAAAAGCCAGGCTTTATAGATTGGTGCTAGGTTTCGATTTCACCCCACCCCTAGTTCTTTTTCCAATCTAATTCTGTTTTGGCTAAGGTTTCTTGACGAGAAAGGCAGCGGCTTGGCACTCCATCTCAATCAATATAGCTTCACTACCTCATCGATTGACCGACCCTCCTTATCTAGCACACTATACTATACGCCTGACCTTAGTGCTACTCACTGTAGTATACTACTTAACACGGGATACAGAATGCAAACAACTACAGCCAAAGGTAGTTAACCTCTTCATGTACTCCACTTTCAACAGCCTTACCTTATTGTCAAGAAGAGATGTGCACATATCATCAATAGCAGCAGTAAGACAAAGGAGAAGAGATAAAGAAATGCCTTTAATGATAGAATTAAACTAACCAACCAAGATAAACCAATATTACTGTACTTCAAGATTTACACTCAATGTCAAATATTAAGAGATACCTATAACAAACATACTTGTTATTTTTTATTGTAATCCATTTATAAACACTACTGTACAGCTACGAAGACAAAATTATGGCAAAGAGAATTTTCTTTGCTTAAACCTTTGTTTTATGTTCCTATGGTGATTATGAATTTAATCAAGATAAGCTATCACTGATTTTGTCATATCACTCAGTAACTCTGACCACAGATATCTGCTGTCTCAACTTTCTCCTTAGTACTTCGCCTTAGTCTGACCAATATTTGACATAGGTGATGATGAGAAGACGAGTGTGGTACAAACACGACCTCAGAAGACTGACTTATTAACGTAAAACTTCGGACAAAATGCATCAGTCAAAGTCCCTCACTTCAGAAGAGTACATTCAGAAGTAAGACAATGTCATGAAACTCCAATGAGCGGTGTTTTACAGAAGAAAATATAATTACATGTAAATTAGTGAGGATTTTCAAAATCTGAATGATAACGATAAGTGACCATGAGTAGAGTCATTGCAAACGACTTTTATCCATGTTATCAACAGTCTCGAACCATTAGTTGTCAGCATATCGAGGACCACAGTGTGGCAGTCTGCATATCTCCACAGACCTCAAAACAGTAAGTCAGAGACTTTCTCATTATGCGTCATGTTTTGTCCTGATTATTCTTAACTCACTTCCCAATCTAGTCCTATATCAGCTAATACTGCTTATTGAGGAAGGTTGTGGCTCAAAATGCATAACACATGTCCTAATCGTCTAAGTATATGAAGTTTCAAAGCCCCACCGACTGATTCCTCTTATTATTTATTACTGACCGCATAACTCCAATTGACACGACTGACTGACTGACTCATGGTTAGAAACTGCTAACCATTTCCCTTGCGTCTTGAGTGAAACATAAGGGCTTACAGCTTTAAAAGTCTCAGTAGCAATGCTGCTGCTTTCACGGGTCTATGTTTCTAGACTCAGGCCAAATCTTCCCACTTTCCCAAAATTGCTACCGACTGATAAATTCGACAAGGTTCAAGAGTTCATCGGTCGGGGATCGAACCCGAACTACATACGTGGCTGATAAGAATTCTACCTTTGAACCATCAACGCATCGCTGATAGCTACTCGGACAAATATACTTCCCCATATCCATAATTGGTACAAAACAAGTGTCATTTTTGTACCCCTTCATAGACACCTTGTTGACTTACAGATCAATAAGACAAATAATTAACAGCAATCGAAAGAAACCTGCGGGAAAGCGGTTGGTCTTACTCCGTAACACAAAATGAAGAATCTGTCTATCTAAAGCACCTGAACGTACATAGTATTATTTTCACGTGACTGTTAAGTACATAGAAAGTCTGTTTGAAAATGGTTGCATACGACCAATCTTAAGACTCGGCGATATATCCAACCATTCTGGAATGAGAAGTAACTCTAAATGTATGCGGTCAAAAATAAGTGTTCATGCAATGTTTCAGTTAGTATCACTTCGAAACCAAGTGGAACTCATAATCAACAAACCTGAAAGAGACAAAAAGTTCCTGTTCCCGATAAACGCACACTAATTAAATCTCTACTCTTTTACATGCCGTGAAAAACAAACACATCTAGCAGAGTTTAACATTTGCCACACACTCTTTACAAGGAACAGGCACTCGACACAATCGATCGCTAGAAGTCATCGCCAGGCTGTGAAGTAAGTGTTGAGACTATATGCTATGTTATACTAATCACAAAGATGTGTATCTTCAGCCTGAGTATTATCATCAAGCCTTAATAATTAGTGCCTCAAAGCCTGGTACATGAAAAATCTATTTTGGGTAACTGAGTTTCAACATCCAAGAGTTTACGAACAACTGCCAACTAAAGTGAAAACGATTAGTGTCTGTCAGAAATATTGTTAACTGCCATGGATATACTGATAGAAGTGATCCTGACAACTTCCAATGCCTCTGTAATTCACTTCTCCCTGAATAAAGGCTGGTTAACTTAGAGTGCACAAGTCGCCCTGTTAGACAAAGACACAACATAATGCAGAATATTTTGAATATCATAAGGGAGAACTTCAATCCTTTCGGGTTTTTGAGCTTTTCAGCATCCATGACCAAACTATTTCTCTAACCTTGAATGAAGGAGGTAGTGCCTCCAAGCCAACTCAAACCTGCACAGAGTTAAATGAACTATGGTAAATTAGTAATCATATTAATAGTGCAATCACTAGTAAGGGTCGTAAACTATAAATCTCAGAACAATATTTTGGGATCAATATGTATTCATCGTTTGATGTGAAAGTTATATGTAGTATGCTGATTCGCGTTATGACACTACCAAGGGTGTTTCGGTCAGAGTGAGCAAGAATTCTTTTTGATTTTTTATTACAGTTTGATTCCGCACCGTATTTTTTGGTACAGGTATGGAATTTACACCATGTGATATCGGTAGCCTAAATTTTCCAGGCCGACCATAGATATCAGGTGTGCATGATCGGCGAGAGTCATAACCGCTGTGCCACCGACGCACAAATGCATTATCCAGTAAACCACACCTCCAAATTCGAAAGCACTAAATAAATACGCAACTTACATACAAATTTGAAAAGTATTACTGTGAAAGCATAATTTCTACAGAAAAAACAAACTCACTTGAACTCTTATGATGAATCTGCAGGTCAACATCAAGCATAATACAATAGCATTGGATGCTTCTCCTAACCCATCTCCTGCACGCCAAATGCCAAACAAGTGGAGTAACATCAAGACAAGCAGTACAACATTGCTGACATCTTGTGCGATACCTGGACAAGATGCAAGCACAACACCACCCACAACTTCCATTGCTCCATAAACTCGCCTGATTACATCAGGACTAACATTCCATTCAGTCAATGAACTAAGTGGAAATGTTTCAAGCATTCTAATGGAACTCTTTCTCTGTAAAACAAAACACTAGGTGTAATTTCTATTAATACAACTTACCACGCTGCGATATAACTCATCAATAAATAATGGGCCTAGTTCCAATGTCCCAAAGGATATCAAGAATACACCTATAACTATAGAAATAACTCTCACAGCGACGTTAGACATTCGGGAAGAAATGCTAGATTGTAAATGAAAGTAGTAGACCTAAAATGTAGAACAGGAAAAGATAAAAAGCTCAGCGTATTTGTAGCTCACACTTTTGTATTCAGTGAAACACAAATGAAATAAGGAAATAGGAAACACTATATGAGAAAGTGTTGCATTGACGCTCTTCTTTTTAGAACGCTTTGTGGAAATAAAGTGACTGAAGACCAACTGTACTTAACACCTACCACATAAAACCGAGGATACATATAGCCTTTCGGATGTCGTCACGATATTTCAGTCAGATACAAGCTCAACAACATTTGGGAAGTAAACACTAGGAAAAAGCAGTTCGCACTAGTATATCAAGACTTCTAAAAATATTTGAGACGAATCTAGATTACCTTCACTGGCAGTGGAAAATGTAATTAAATAATCGGTGAAATATCCAGAGAAAAAGGGATTTGTGACCAATTATGTGCAGCAAGGAGCAATGACACCATATAACAAATTCACAGGATAACATTCACTGCAGTATGTTTTTACCAAACACATTACTGTCCTGCAAATGGACCTATTTTACGCAGTCCATATGAAACCTAATTGCTAAAGATTTGTAGCTTAGGACGAAGATTGAAATCGGTTGATGTTCTCTGCGCTTTGAGACTTGCTGGATGAGACGTCAGCAAGCTTCTTGATGAAGTTAGTGCTCTATGACTATTTCATAATTAAGTCGTCAAGTATCTCAACAAGTAATCCAAATCAACGAACAAGACCTAAAAATCGCTGTCTTTCATGAAGAAAGAAATGGAAATATTCCCTAATTCGGCAAGAATCTCAGACTTAGCTTTTGTGGTTTCAAATTCTGCACACCTCAACTTCCATACCAACAATGGATGCCGGCGATACACAAAGCCAGAGAATCGAGGACATGTTTTTCTAAGATACAATATATCTGCGAGAGGTGACGTATAAGTGAACTACTCACGAACAATCTAATATGCAGGCTGACAGCGTCTCCTCCAGTGAAAATAATGGAAGGAATTACGACGGCAAATTATCTTATTGAGAAACCAGTACTATACATGGCCATGCACCAGATAACATTCAGATAAAAATAAACAGCTAAACAATCACAAGTCTAAGCCAGAACATCTACCGTATTCTGGAATTTCTGTTATCTATTGAAAAGCTTTACGCAACAGTAGTTTCTCATACTCATTACTTAACTTGAGAAGAGAAAGACTTGCACGGATAGGATTTTGGTGGATTCAAAAGTACCCTAATGCACACCCGAATTGGACAAAAGTGCTTACAAACAGGTGAATAATGCCAAGTAATGAGCATAGCCTACAGTGAGCTGCTTTCGTGAATCATTTATCTCTCTTATCCTTATGTGCAGTCTTCCTGAAAAGCCCTCGGTTGAATTACTATGGTCTGCAGTAAGAAGATCGACAGCCACTTATCAGGAAAATGTGGATAACAAAACAAAAGGAAATAAATGACATTAACTTTAAAACTATCCCTAATCGTAACTCTAACCTTGATTCTGACCCTAAACCTAAACTTAACACTAACCCTAATTACAACCGTAAACGTAACCCTAATTATGACCCTGTTCCTCACCTTAACCCCAATACTTACCTTAACCCTAACGAGCTAATAACGCATTGTCCAAACAGTACTTTAAAACCTGATCTGGATGAAATTAGCTTCTTAGTTGGTGAATAGAGTTGATATTTCAGTTATGATAATGACAGGTGCCGTTAGCCAACGACTAGCATGCCTTCAGGGTCATCAAGACGTTTGATGCTATGCACACATTTCTTGAGGTAGATGACTACACCACCACTATGTATATATCTATGTATCTCGAAATTTGGCAGGTTAACTTCGTTGTCAGTGACATCGGGTGTGACCCACGTCTCCGTGATGATAATTACATCCGGATTTTCGGAGTCTATCATATTACCCAGCTCAGACCGTTTGTTCAACAGGCTGTGGGCGTTTGCGCAGCAAACTGTCAATTCAGTTTGGTGCTTCCGCTAGTCACGTATTCGGTGGCTGAGTATTGGTCGCTCTCCTCCTGTGGTGGAAGACCCTAGCAGTCAATGGACTTAAGAGCCCTAGTGAGTCGCAATGGATTCCGTTATAAGAAACTTAGTCGCACTACAGCAGTCACTGCACAGCCAGTTCTCCAGAGGTTTGCAGCAGCGCTTGTATGCTCCAGGAGTTAAGTTTGTGCACACGCTATGAAACCTTCTCTTGCAGTTATCACACTGCACTCCCTCTACAACTGGATATTGACACAACCCTTCCAAATCGGTTCCTTTTGATCGACATGCTTCGTACAGCGAATTGGGGCATAAGGTTTAAGTGTGACTTTATACATATGCAATCAATGAGTGCACAAAAATGGATCTATATAACTACTAAGTTAAATAAACTCACACCTGCTGAAACGTACACTAACTTCGATCAGAAAAAACTAATTCAAAGTTAATCTTTCGACTTTTGGAGAGTTTAACACAACAAAGGCCAAAATCAAACGAGAGCGTGTGGATTTCAGTCCCTTTCAAAGCACGCGCGTGTGTTTGGAGTACGTAATTACGTATATGTGACTTCTGTTCCGAAGACAAAATTGTTTACTCTTGCCTAGGGAAATATCGATAGCAAAACGTTTTTACACTTGACACCTTGACAGCAATAAAGTCAATTGAATTTATCGAAAGACTACTTTAGCTGAATATACATACATAACATACATAACACGACGTTGAGGTAACGTACAGTACTGAGAATGAGCAAAAGGACGAGGTCCAATTCAGATTCAGATTCATTGATTGAGGATAGGAGGCTTGGAGCCTATGTTAATTCTTTTTCTAGGAAACTTCTATGGTTTTCCAAACCCTTCTTGAACGATTGAGTTGAGGTTGCAGACACCGCTTCTTCTGGGAGTCGGTTCCAAGAGTTTATGACTCGATGCGAGAACCAGTACTCAACAGCAATATGATTTCTTCTTGGCTTTTGAACTCTCCTGCTATGTCCTCTAAGGTGTTCCGACCTGGTGGGAAGGAAAAGAGAGAATAGGTCAGGTCCGTAGTCATTATTTAAAATTTTGAACATTGTGATTAAATCTCCTCTCTGCCTACGGTATGACAAGGAGAAGAGATTTAAACTGTCTAGTCTTTCTTCGAATGATAAATTAGTCATTCCGAGAACCATACGTGTTGCCTTCCTTTGAGCCCTTTCTAGAATGTGTGAGTCCCCTTTTAGACAAGGGCTGGCGACCTGGATGCAGTTTTCCAGACTTGACCTCACCAGAGATGTAAATAGGGAGGTGAACATATCTCTGGTGATTCTAGTGAAGGCTCTGCGAATGACCCATAATGACCTGAAACTACATGCAGCCACTGCGCGGCAGTGTGCTGTAGTTTTTAAGTCGTGGCTTGCTATGACACCTAAGTCCAAGTGAGTCTGAACTGATGGGAGTGTTATTCCCTCTAGTCCGTAGGAGCTCGCGCTTGCTTGTCCAATGCGCATGGTTGCACATTTTGCCACATTTATCAGGACCATCCATTCTATGGACCACTCTGACAATTTGTTGAGGTCCTCTTGCAACGTGGATGTGCCACTGTTGCCCTTCAGCTCTCTCCAAAGTTTTAAGTCATCTGAATATAGGACCATAGGGGAGTCGGTGAGCAGAGATAACTCATTGATATACAAAATAAATAGGAGAGGTCCGAGTACCGTGCCTTGTGCCACTCCGCCACGTACTTCTGTTCAAGAGGAGAGTTTCGAGTTGATCCTAACCCTCTGCCTCCTATCTATGAGGAATTCGCTGAAACAGTTTAGTAAGCTGCCTTTGATACCAAGACTTTCTTTCCAGCTTCATGAGTAGTCTTTTGTGAGGTACTTTATCAAAGGCTTTGCTGAAGTCTATGAAGACGACGTCAAGGGGTCTTCTGTTGTCCCTGGATTTCACCCAGCTTTCTCTTGCAGTGAGAAGATTTGACAGGCATGAGAGGTTCCTTCGGAAGCCATGCTGCGCTCTAGATAATAAGCTTCTATTTCCTAGATATGCCATGATGCCTTTCTTGATGATTCATTCCAGTGTCTTGATCAAAGTGCTGGTGAGACTGATTGGCCTGTAATTTGAGGGACTTTGTCTTGTTCCCCCTTTGTGGATGGGGGTTACTATGGCGTCTTTCCAGTCACGCGGTAACACTCCATTTAAGAGAGAAAGCTTGAAGATCGTAGTCAAACGGCCGGCTGTGTGGGCTGACAGCTCCTTGAGAAGACTCGGATGTAGATTATCAGGACCCATTGATTTCTCTGCATCTGTGGTGAGAGCTGTCTACTAGCCAAATTGGTAGACAGTAATTTACGTCAATATTTACGTTCCCAAGATTTGTCGGGAGAAACAACCAATCGGAAGACTGTGTTTGTTTGTTTACATATCCATAGTAATGTACATGAAAACATATATAAATATGCGTTGATTTCCTTAATAAATGATCTGTTGCCTGACTCTTGCCTTCTGTCGTTACACATCTAGTTTCATCAGGCAGTTGAGCACGATGCCTTGGTCGATGTCAACGGAATCCATCCCATGTTCTTCTGATGCAACCAGAACTGATCCTTTAGGCAGTGATGACTCCTGAGTGAAGACTCGGGAGAAGTAGTTTGCCATTGCTTCTGCTTTTTCTTGATCTTCTTCAATTGTATCATTGTCAATAGTCGGGTTTATGACACCATTGGATGTTTTATTCCTGAAGTTCATGTACGGGAACATTTTCTTAGGTTGTGCCTCTGCATTTTGAGCCAGGTATGCTTCGAACTTCATCCTTGATTCGTGGATTTCT